AATGCGCATTCGGCATTCTAAAAGCGCGCTTTGGAGTACTTGTGATTCCTTCACGATTGTGATACCAAAAGCGAATGAGGTACGCAATTTACTGCAGCATCATATTGCACAACATGATCATTGAGCTTCGTGGTAACGGTATTCCAGATTATCTACTCGCTCCTTATGGTACTGCTAGTGTTGTAGAACAGAGCGAAGTGCATGAACAGATCCGAAATGTATCTACCAGAGAAATTGAAGCGCTTTGAACGGGTTCGATTATGAAAATGTGCAATCGACTTAAGAATCTGCAAGATGGAAATGGGAGTAAAACACTCCGCGAACTACTTTGCCGTCATTGCTGGAGCTGGAATACTATGCATTGATACTCTTAGTTGTGAAGTAAAAACAAAATCAATGTATTTTTTTGTATTTGGATGACTAGGATCTTCATTTCAATAAGTACAATATTTGTTAAAGAGGACGTATTTACTGGAGGCGTTCGAGGTCTGCTCACCTACCACCTTCATCTTGTCGCTCTTTGGCAACGCGTGCTTCAGATCCGTGTTGGCTCGCACATCTGCCCTCTTCGTCTAGTACACTAACTCCGGCACCGCCGAAACCAACACTATCTTCACCAGGATAGCACTCATCACTGCAGGTATTGCTAATACTGGTAGGTTGGATCCTGCGAGGATCGCAGCAATTCGTTTTTTACGCATAAATGAAAAACATAATGCCTTCGAAGTCGATGGTCATCTGCTCTTTATTGATATCATTTTTTTGTTTCATTTCTACCAAAAATACATCATTGCGCTTTTCGTCGTCGTGGACGAGTTGTTTTATGATACTTGATTCTTCCGTATCAGCAGCCAAAGCAAGTTTCGCCTTCTTTCTCTGTAGTCGCACCATTTCCACGGTTTGATGCATCCAAAGTGCAAGAATTTCCGTCCATGAACTTCTGCGACTTGCGTAGGATCTGCCAACAAGATTCGAAGGCAAATGAAAAGCCTTCTTGTGCAGCAAACAGCGCGCGAGTGTCGTCTAGATGGTCGTCGGCATTCTTTCCAGACTGGTCTCGAGACTTAACAGCGCTGTAGCACCCCACAAACTTTCCGACGTCCCGATCAGTGATTGCGAACTGCCTGAATAGACCGGTAGTCGTCCGCGCTAATCGGCTTAACCATGCCGTGGAAGGCATCCAGAATGCTCTTCCAAAACGTAGCAGCCTTCTGCTCCGTGCCATCAATAGGGGACAGCGAGATATGCAGATATGTTGAACTAAAGCCTCATCTTTAGTCGCGCCCCAGCAGCGTCCACGCTCCATCCTGAATATGCACCCAAGTCCGTCGACAACTTTCGTAGTTGAGAGAACAAGCAAACGGGCAGATCAGTATGAGATGCCACAGCGAATGTTGGGATACATCACGTGCTCTATTCATGCTCAGAATATATCCCTGTGCGGTAATATATGCTATTAAGTAGAAATCGAGCTTCGACTATATTACATTGAGCTATTCTAACACAGAGCTGAGGAAAAGTGTGTTGTGATTGTTTGATTGAGGGATATTGTTGATTGGATCAATTTCACAATGGAGGCCTTCAGAAAATGGGGCAAAATCCAAAAGTTCAGCTCGCAAAACCAGTAGCAAATTCAAGGGTTAGGTGACACAAAATCAATCGCAATTTGCCGAGACGGATTTTGCGTCTCTCCCAATTGCGACGAGGTAAACACAGTTAGTGCCCGGGGCACAGTGCCGCAAAACCAACCATACAGGACTGGATAGCATGAGCCGCTTCAAGACTCTACAAAAAGGCAAATAACACAATTCCATCCGCTACAACGGCATGAGGAAAAGGCTGGTCCTGCCGTTAGGCTCGAACCAGTGGAATGCGGTAGATCTACAGTACAACACTAAACTATCCGATGGCTTCCCTGTACGCGATGCGGAGTCCGTCAAACGCAAGTTCTACGCACTCAAGAATACGCGCAACCCGTCGGGAGATCTGGCGCGCCCGGCCGACGTTGCTCAAGTCAAACACGTATATCGTCGGATCGAAGGGAATTGTGGCGTAATAGTGTTGGACGATGCTGCCCCGTCTGTCGAGTCTTCGGCTAGAAGTTCCGCCCCATCAAACAGTACTTCACAGTATGAGGCAACAACTAATGCTGAAGAAGCACAAGCACTGCAAGTGCAGAGCCAGCCTGCGTCTGGCAGATTGTCATCCACTGTCAGTGGCGAAGTTAACAAGGTACAGTATCACAGTGCATACATATTGCAAAGTATCACACTAAAATCAAATGTAAATATGATATATTGACAGAGTTTGCTTGACGTGCCTGTTGCCGGGATATTTCGCACCGGAAAGACAGCGGAAGAGCTGGGGCAGCTAGGAAAGGAACTGCATACTGGATCTAAGGATCTACTGTCACAATCGGCTAAGAAACGACGCAGGATTGATCGCCTGCTTGAAAACCTAGAGTCAGACGACAGCGCGGATTGGTGCAC